AACATCGGAATTAAATATATCGTAATTTACAAAGTGTTCTTTTATATACGAAAAAACAATTAAACTCTAAGTGAAAAAATACCATTCAGCCAATGAAAAATATTTTTAATACAAATCTTACGTCTACAACTAATTATCATTTTCATGAATGTTGCATACCAGTTTTATGTTTTCTTGTTCAGTTATCTGTTGGCTCTAGTTGTCATGTGAATTGATGTAGGAATAACATATAGTTTAGTATTAACGTAAGTAAGGTCTTAACACAAGTCCATTTTATTATCAACGAAAAATAAAACCAACTTCAAATATCTCTCTGTATTTATTTTATAATTGATTTACAGGAGTTCCTTACGTATCTACGGAGCCCAAGATCCAATACCAATGAAATTAATATGGGACCACATGGGAAGCACCAGCTTTCAAATAAAAGAGTCACCAAAATTGTTTCACTCAGTCGAAAGTTCTGAGGTAACAAACATAAAAATAAATACAGTCGAATTGAGAACCTCCTCCTCGTCGGTTGAAAACAATACGAGAATTCTGTCGCCTCTTTAACGGAGCCGCCTGTATATTATCACCTATCTTTTCACAAGAGGGTAAGCGGTGTTTGTATTATTTCAACGTATTTTGCCCCACAAAAGACAGGCCGGCTGTTTATTTTATGCCAAATCACTACCCTTACGCCCCGGCGCAATGATATCTATCAAGTGCGCATATTTTATTAAAAAACATGGGGGAGCATTGGAGTGCTGGGAATGGACGTCCTTATTGCGAGCCGACAAGTGATTGTCAAGCCGAAATATGATTTATTGCAAGGGTATTAAGGTGGTTTCCGTAGTTGGAGGTGTTCATTCACACTTGGTAATCGTTAGAGGGCATTTTTATTATTTTAGGCGATTTTAAAAAGCATAATGAAGCGTGATAATGCTCTAGTAAGCAATTCATTGCGTACTTACGAACGATATGTTGGTTTAGTGTTTATATTTTCGCTAATGTTTATTTTATATCAATTTAGAAGTGCTGATTGGTGACGGTAAGATAATATTGTTTTGAACGCCTATTTTGTCCAATGGTAACCAGTCTTCCTTTAAAATAGGTATAAAAATACTATGGTATTGTCCAATATAGGTAAGTATATAAGGATTTAAGGTAATTTAACTCAATTTAAAAATAAAATGGTTCACTTGAATGTCATCTAGCAGATTGGTTGTATAATTTGGAAAATAGGACATTTTTCAGATAACCAAAGTGTTTATCCATATTCAAACAACACCGTATGTAAAATTAAACGCGAAAAATTCATAAGGGACTTTTATTTAACTTTTAAATTATTTAAATACAATACATCATTAGTAAATCATGCCCTCAAAATTGCACGATGTAAGACAATAAGCGTTTTGGTAGGAAGCTTAGGTGGAGGTGTTTTAACGGTGTAATGTCTTGACTCCTGGGCTTTCTTATCACACCGAGGGATTCCCATTCCCTTAAAGTTTTGGCAACACTGCTACTACACCTCACCATGTCGCTTGGCATCAAATCATTCGCCAGCTCTTTTGCTCTTTTCTATCTACTATCTGTCTCCATAAAGAATTTTATAGCAGACTAGACATATTTATAGCAAACTAGACTATAGATATTTACTTATAGATATTTACTATAGATATTTACTTATAGATATTTTCTATAGATATTTACTTATAGATATTTACTATAGATATTTATATTTATAGCAAACTAGACTAGAGGTCTGCTATAAATTTCTTTATCATTTGATATATCAAACCGTTAAACGAGCATCACGGAAAATCTACCGGAAAGGTTTCAATTAACTCTTCTAAGTTTTATTTCTTAAACACTTGTCTCACTTACTACTAACTACTTATATTCATTGTGATATGTTCATTTAATGTAGAGAGTTATTAAAGTTTTATGAAATAACCATTTCTTTTGTTTGTTTTGTTTTCTTGCCTTGGAATGGTTGTTAATATAAGCAACGCAGAAGAAGTCGCGGGTATAAGCTAGTTTTTAGAAACAAACAGCTGTCGCATTTATCGTGTCATTTTCATTTCTTTTGTCAGTCAGTTTAATACTTATGACTGTTCGATTATTGCAATCTTGGGGCCAATTTTATTTTTAATTATTTAAAAAAATGCCCTTACTGTAGGACAACATTATCTGGGTTGTAAAAACGTTTTACATACATCAATTTCAAGTGGAAAACAAACAGACGCAAAAGAACTACCTGTGGGTCACACAAATAGTTGTCCCGTGTGGGAATCGAACCCACGACCTTCGGCGCCGAAGCCAATAACTTGGCAACCGCGCCGCGGAGTTATTAATATTAATATATTTTCGGATATTAACAGTGGTATTATTTTAACTTAAGTCAATTAAGGGCTATTTATTAGAAAATTTTTCTGGGAATACAAAAAACCCCCGTTTGAGGCTATTTTGAAAAATACAAAAGTTTTCTTATACATACATAGAGAGCTCTTAAATAGAGACTTTTGTTAACTTGCCCTAACGAAGGCGTATTTTGGTTGTGTTACTAGTTCACTAGTTGTATTACTAGTTTAATTTTCTGTTGACTTAGTCGATTTGACGTTGAAATAAAATTGAAAGTGAAGCGATAAAGTATTTATTTTTTACATTGAATAAACTCCACGCCAGTATCCTGACTCGGAGTCACCTTCTATTGCAGCTTTTATTTGAGAACAAGGAACAAAGAAACACACCAATTGGAATTTTCAACATTTTAATTTTACGCATAATGCAATCAATATTTTTAATATTATTTTAACTGTCTCACTGTTGAGCCGATGTCGCTATACAATTAATTTTACAATTAAAAATACTATATTAACTTCACATATTTTACATCGAACGTTTAAAATACAATACGATAAAAATCAACATACATTTCACTGGGCAACAATATAAAGAGTACATTTCCCTTTACTCGCACACAAAAACCAAAATCCTTAAGTCCGAACAACAACTAATAAATTAAAAGAAAATTTGAACTAATTTGAGCATTTCCAAAAAGCATTCTTAGTGGAGTCAACCGAAAATTATTGATATAATTATCAACAATTAGCATTACAGCTATTACGATGAAATACAACGACAATTCATCGTTGACTTAATTCAAGGAAGGCCATTTCATATCGAAATTTTTATTATTTGGCGCTAAGTTAATTCGAAAATGTGACATCTGAAATCGAAAATATTTTCGATATGTACGTCGGGCATAATGCACTTTATTGTGTGCATATTTTGCATGATTCTTTTATTAATATTAAAAATTAATTATCTAAGATAAATTAAATTCGTTTGATAATAATTGAGAATTTGATTTATAAAATAATTCGTCTTATGGCAACACATAAATGCAATGTCACATCATATTAGGACGTAGCTAACATACCTATCTAATTATTTCCATTGCCGTTCAAATATTTGTAGTTTTATATTTCTCGTGTTTATGTACAGTGTATATTAAATTTATACAATTATTTATAAGGCCCATATCGAGTTGGAACGTTTAGAAATATTGGCAGACGTCCCTTTTGATACGATTCGATTAACTTACACTATATTACAGGGTTATTTATAAAGATGTCGTTGTATTCAAACTTGGACATTTTTAAATAATCGTTTAACCGAACCTAGCTGCCAGCTATCGTCTGTATAACGGATCCATTAAGATATTTGTCTGAGTAAAGAAGTTCTTCGGTTAAATAGAACTGTTTTAAGGAATCTACAGCGTTAAAACGCAATATAATCTGTAAAATAGTCTCTTTTATTCACCCAAGTATAGATTTCGCGTAAATATAAGGAGTCGGAGATTTCCTTTATTGAAATTCACGCTTACATTGACGCAACGATGATTTGTTGCCAGCTACTGTTTGATAACGGAATGCCGTACTACCGCTAAGATATTTACAATATAAGTACAGCGTACAGCCTAAAAAAACTTAGATATTACGATGGAACACTTGTCTGTTAAAATGAAAACAAAATACGCGGATTCCGAATGAAGGATTTATGCTTTCTGTTGAACCTCAAACAATAAGTCACTATGATGTAGCCTTGGCGTGTTCTTTATCGAAATTGAATACATCGGCAAAGACTTTTGTTGTTGAAAGGCAAATTTTATATCAAAATTTTGATAAAACCATAAAACAGCTAAGATATCTTAGCTGTTTTATGGTTTTTAAAACGAAATTTTGATATAAAATTTGTTGTCAACAAAAGCTAAAAGTTCTCCATTCCGCACTAGAGATTCTTAAATAAACATTTCTATACAGAGAAGCCTTCGCGTATGGGTTTATTTTCAATATTTATTTGTTTCGACTGCATTTTGATTTTGTCTGCTCCGTTCGAGTTCAAAATAGATCCGTAGGCACGTCTCTAACTAGATTTAAATTAGATTGAAAGTAACGATATTACTTGATGTTTTAACTGACGTCGATAGATTTCACACAAGTTTATCCAATGGGTGATTTGGATGAACGCCATCATTGTTTCAGTTAGTACCCGAGCCTACGATCGATTTTTACTTGACCAGTACGCGTTTTCTATCCATGTAAATGTAAAACAGAAGATAATATATTATGATGACGAGATAACAAGATTTACACGGCCGATTATGACTCAACTTAAGATCGACAATGTCCACGTCACCTGCGCTGATTCTGTCTTTGTTACTCTTCAACGTTTAACTCTTAACGTCTCGAATTCACCTCTAATATCAAACGTTTACAATATAATTATCCCACGATGCAAAAAAACAACAACGGGTTTTCTGAACTGAAAAATGCCAACTCTTCTATTTGCACAATTATTTGCTTGGTTTACATTTCAGACGGTATTAGCGTCTGAAAAAAAGCGTCTTGTCGAGTCCCCAAAAATTGCTAATTTCGCGGCGGCTTACGGGAGGTGTGCGAGGCAGATTTCACATAAAAGATGAAACGGTCAGTGCACTAGACATCAGGTCAGAATATGACCGTCAGGGGCCTGCGGAATTCGGGCCCGCCTTGCGCGGCCTGCGCGTACTGGCCCGGGTATTGGGGCATCAGTAAGCTGGAGGGGGTCTGGTAGTAAGGCAGCGACGGCGAGGGGTTGGAGCCCGAGGAGCTCTCCGCTTGGGACTTGGCCGCCACGTCGGGCGACTCGGCGGGCGAGCGCGGCGAGAGGCTGGACGAGGAGTTGACGGAGCCCAGCCCCGCCATGGCGGCCGACGCCTCCGAGTACATCTTGCTGATGTCCACTGGGTACGGGCGCTGCTGCTGCTGGTCCATGTACATGTAGGCCTTGGAGAGCGCGGCCGAGTCGAGGTACCCTCGGGACGGGTCCGTGTACATGCCGTAGCGGTACTTCTCCTCTATCGAGTACTTCGATATGTCCATCGTGGAGCCCACCTGCAACAATAGACGACATTTGAGGGTGTTGGGTGGTGTCACTACGGCCGGGTCGCATTGATTCTTGCCAGCGCCTAAGGACTCCTATAGATATGAATCCTAAATCTGTTAGAATTATCTGTTTGTACAAAAAACACAACTTTACAGGCAATAATCGCTCTCTATTGCAAACGTTTGGTTTTCTTTTTTATGAAGTCATCAGAGTCTACATCTCTAAGTGATCAGAGTCCTCATCTGTGAAATATATGTTAATGAAAGTTTACATTAACGTTGTTCTACTGTTTTAGTTCGTTGTTTCATTTTTATTTTAAATCTTAATCTATTAAACGAAACTATTTTTTGCGGATGCATTAACGTGCAATGTTTACGTTCAGTCTCACTAATAGCGAAAACAAAATATGACACACGTGACCACAGGTTAAACGCTGCCTGCCACCATTAGAGAATGTCACTAAGGAATATTAAAATGTCAAATTGAGTCTGAATCACTCATTATTAAAGTGACAGGCGAATTGCTACGGTCCTAATGAATACGCCAAAGTTGCTAATTAGAATAAACGCATGCAACATCACATTTAAAACCTTCTTCGAAAACATAAACAAGCATAACCACGTTACGACTACCGTTTAAATTAACGTGCGTGCTAAGCGCTCGGTTAAGTGGTTTTCAATCAATTAACAAGATACAAGAAATTAATATGAACGAATTGTAATCGATAAAAATATGTCCGTAATAGAAATTTGTTTTCGCATCGCCGTGTCTTCAATTAACTTCGGTACAAGCATACCAATTAACGCAATGGTATTTTTATAAAGGTTACTGTACGAGTCAAAACATTGACAATTTAGCGCATCGATTAATTTGCTAAGCCGATTATCGCCTGTAATCTATCTCGCCTACAAATAACGCGATTCAGTGAAAATTAAATAAATGCAAATTCCGCCCGACCGCGTGCGGACGCCAAAAGCGACCCTGTTCCGCTGCGTTAAAGTAACAAATCGCACAGAATAAGTATGGATATAATAACGTAATGTAGCATTGTACTTTACACGCCGAGGCGCACAAATCAAACGTAACAAAGCCTTTCGAATAACGCTCGGTCGGAGTTTTGAATTTTTTAATGAAGTGACTCGTACACAATATTGTGAGGAAAAAATGGCTTTTCAACCGCGATATACTGACCTATTGTTCAATAAATACGTCATTTTTTTACATCCTTTCTCTTTTTGCTCCACCGGTGCTCTTGGTGTATATTTTAAAAGCCTTGAATTCCTCTTGCTTATAGATAATTAGACATTTCCTTGCCAGTTTCGGTAAAATTACTCAAGGACTTGCCCGTTAATTTCCAAAATCTGTCCTCGGGATAGACTGGAGTGGCTTAATTAACAGACTAGCAGCAAACCACTTGTCTTAGTTAAAGAAGTCTAATTATGAGAAAATATCTTAATCACAATAGATAAAGTAGCGACGAAATTTTTCAGCAAAACGCAAATGAGACGTTAAGAAGTATTTTAAGCTTAAATTAAGGTAGCAGAATAAACATGAATCAGTTCAAACCTGTTCGTATTTTTAATGGAAACATTTTATGATTAAGTATTACATCTAGGGAGAAAACGTCCGCTTAAACTTAACTAATTGGGAGTTACGAAGACTGTAAGAAAAAAGTCCCATAAAACAGTCGTATACCCGGCGTATATAACTACTGTCAATAGATATTTGCCGTGAATGCAAACCAATAAAGGGAGGAATCAAAAATGCAAACGTCCACCGTCCTTCCAGCGCGTGTGTCTCGCGAGTTAGCGCATAACATACGGGCAGCGGTCGCTCTCGCCGTGCTAAATCAGGATTAGTCCGACGTCGCGACATCAACTATAGGTTTTACTGCGGCCCTTACACTCTAGTTTATTGCGCCGAGAGTCCGAGTTATAAATGGAGGGAACGGTACGAGTTCTCCTCTCTTTTCGACCGTGTGTATTATACAATCCTTGTGTTTGAGTTGCACCGCGCCTATCGCTGCTCTCGTGTTTGATACCATTATTGATATGGCGGCTCGAAAGTATCGGTTGAAGTTATTGCCTTCTTATTCAAAGGACTTGACGGCTTCTTAGCGATATATCGACGATGTGCTTGCAGGATTCTTAAGTGGAAAAATTCAATGACTCAAGTTTGTGCCGAGTGTCCACAGATAGTCGATACGTTTTGAATAATCAATAGTAATTAACCAATAATAACAAACAACCAATAATTCATAAACGACAATGAAGCCAGAATCTATAAAGCCATTGCCAGCAAATGTATGAAGTAAAAATTAGAATAGATGCTGTGCGTAACAAACTCAACATTATATTGTGTTTAATTTTAGCTACTACCCAAGTTTTTGACTATAAAAATCAGTATCGTTAAGAAAGTGATTGTGTTCTGCGCTCTACGTTTTACAACATATCGAGTCGTGTAAGGCGGAACCATTAAGTAGCAAATTAAGTCCTAAACATTACCAGTATCCAAGTACTGGAGAACAACAACCAACAGGTCGAACATTAAATTTGCATCGATATTGATAATACGTCTTTGAAGCGAAAATCAATGAAGCTCAGGCAGTGCTGAAGGATGGTTGGTTATGAGGTTCGAACGCGAAGAAGTAAGTTATAAAACAACGGTCCTGCACTGGACCATTGTTTTTAAGAAGAAATAGTGTGGCAGGGTGATATTGAATCATTACTGCGGCCAAAAGAGTATGAAATCACACGTTCCAATCTTACTAATCTCGATCATTGGTGCAGGGTAGCCCGTCTCTCGGTTTTCTACGTATTGCCTTTTGAACAGTATAAATTGGAATTCCACGAATGGATTCCTTCCATTTGCATTTTCTGACGACCAGACGCTTTACAAAAATATCATCATAGCGGTGATGAAATTCTACAGTTTCGAACGTGTTGCTTTCTCAATTATGTACACAGCAGAGGGATAGAATAATTTGCCAGCGTCTGCCTTTCCGTCGAATATAACATAAGTGTCATTAGGCGAGAATGAATCAGCTTTACTGAGCTATTGCATTTACCATCTATAATTGCATCACCACATTCCAACAGGTGGGATAGCAATTACTGATTAATTATAAAACAGGATACCGAGATTGACCACGAATCCAAGTCGTGGTCCATTGATCGATTGAATCTTGGTTTGTTTTACGGAAGAACTGATCATCAATTATCATCATCTTTATTTTAGCCTGTTTGAGTCCAATTCTGAACTCCTCTTTTCCCATAGACCGCCACGTAGTACGATCCTAAGCTATCTGCATCTATCGACTTACACAGGTCGTCAGTCACTGCGATGCCACACGATAGTATCACAATATTGATATTACGCCGCAAATGGACATCCGCAGCACCCTTTGTGATACTCATTCTTGGAGACGGCCCATCGCGCAACAGCCGAAGCCGCTGCATCGCTCCGATTTGCGTCTATCGCTCGACGCGATGCCGTCGCAACGGCCACCACTTACCCCGGGGAGCCAATCAGCGGCCAAATGAACCGTGAAAGACCAATAAACACCTCACCGCTCCAACCATCGATCAACATAATCGAATGCGGGGAATCACAATGGTTCGTTAAAAATCCCGGGCTACCTGGCCACCGCGCCGGTCGATTCGCTCAGTCACCGTTTTTAATGTCAGGTGTTGCGCCGCGCCGCGTTCTGAATCGCGGCTGATTATATTGTTTCGTGTCGGCCGTTTCGGTGGCCGCCGGGCGGGGGGTTGGGGGCGATTCGACGCGTTAATCGAAAAAAGTGCGATTTCATCCGATAGAGACCGGGGGTCTATTACGGTGGTGATGGATCGGAGCCCAGGGCCGGCAGCGCTCGCTGCCCCGGCACCGATCGCTGGGTCGGACATACGTATACTGATTGTTCGGTTCGATAGCAACAGCGAGGCATCTTGAGCTAGATTCGAAGTTGTCTAACTTTACTTATATTTTTCTCGTCTGAAAGTTTATTTTTAGTTAGTTTAGTTTATTTTTATTGTGCACCTTTACGCTTCATAAGAGCATCTCACACTTAACTTATAAAATATCATAGAGGGTAATTTCAAAACTTATACCTTTTTTTGAAGAAGCGGCAAAAGAGCACTGATGTATTGTACTGTATTTACTTATATAAAGAAATTACGAGTTGTGCTAACTCCAAAATTCTGACTCTTAAGGGTAAATATTATAATTATGTTTCTAATGTCTGTGAATATTAAATACAATCTGTTTCCACCTCCTCGGAGCATTTACAGCCGCAAAATAAGATGTCGCAGTAGTTAGAGCGACCTAGGAGATATGTAAGCGCTCACGCCGTCCGATTGCTATTGCGTAAGTTTATTACTACCCACATCCGTCACTCGACAGAAACAAGTCGATTAAACACTGCTCGACACGCGCTTACACAATTGAGCGTCTCTAGCCCCTAAGGACCTCCGCCCTCCCTTTTTAAAACTCCTCGATCTTCCCCCGAGGCCCCGGTTTGACGTTCAATCTCGTGCCGCTGACGTGGATGTGTTAAACAGGTCCTTTGGGGTGCGATTTAAGGGATGCCCGGGGTGGGTTTACCGGATTAACCGGATTTGTCGATCGCGCGAATTACTTTCGAGTGTTTTTATTCGACTTCAAGAGGCGACGTTGACTTGGCGGGCGGTGAGATTGATTTTCGGTCCATATGGTGATTCGGTGATATCTATTTTTGTAAGGAATTTATTTCTTTATGAGTTTGCACGAAATATTTTTTACATAATATTATATTAAGTTTGTCTCGTATGTTAATAAGAAATTGAAATATTTTATTTGTACTGTTATGAAGTTGAATATTATGAAGTTGTATAGGCTGATCATAGAAGTTGAACGGTGTATGATAAATTAAAAATATATTATTCTCCTTTAATGATTTTTGTTCCTTAGGTAATATATATTTCCCATAAAATATATTTAATAAAAAATTAATTATATGCATACAATTAATTACATATACACAAAATATACAACTTTTTTCAAAATTGCAAAATAACAATACAAACAATTAGGATTACTGTAAAATAATTTGGGGCAATTGGAGGGCGGATATGAAACCAAGTACCGAATTTAATAAATCTGTTAAGCTCACTCATCTGTGATATTAGGGAGACCACAAGTTTTCAGCATTTAATCGAAATAGGCGGACGAAATCGAAAAGAATTATACACGTAACTGACAATTATTTCGTTGAAATTTCATTAAAGCAATTTAATATAAATAAGTAATTCTTGATTCGCATTTAACCATTTTTATATGACAACAGTTAGGAATTAATTTGTTTTATTACAAGATATCACAGCGCATTAAACAGTACTAAGGAAATAATCATAATTTAATACAAACGACTGAGTTTAACATTAGATTGGTGTCGAGTTTCGGGATTATCCGCAAAAAATCAAAACAATGGCCACATACAACTAATGCTATCTCCGAGTTGGGGGTTTTCTCCTCAGCGGTGAGTTGCCAAATAATTACCAGGCATCGCGAGGGGAGTCCCTACCCTTGTTTAATGACCATCGCGACATCTGTTTAACCGCACACATTTCGTGTGTATTTGATTAACACTCAATTTTAACAGTTTTTCTTTTACATTAGTTAAATAATGCTTTCTTCAATTTCTCATGCTCAATCGCTCATATTCAATGCTCATGATCATGTCACTTTAAGTTTTCTTTTCTCATTATTCGAGAAGTATCCATGTTAACAACTATATTCCATAATTAAAAGTAAATTTAATGCCTCTGTTCTAATTGTTAAATTGGTAAAAGTTCAAACTGTCGATTGAGAAGTAAGTTATAAAATTAAAAAAAGTTTTAGAAGTCATAAAATTATGAGTAATAGGAATTTTGTTTCTAAGTGTATATAATAGATAAAAATGTAATTAATTGTTTTATAATTTTAATAAAATGCAATCGGGATCAGTTCCGTGATTTTGTCACCTCATAATACTATTATTGACCAAACTATAAATTTATAGATAAAACAAGCATTAGTTATCAACTTTGTACAGATAAAATATAGATAGAATAAAAATTACATTTCGCGCCTGTCCGTGCTTTTTAAATTAGTTCAAACGAAGCCGCGTTGTCGTGGAAAAATGGCGGAACTGATCGAGATTGCATTTATTTATATCACGAAAAGCAGCAAAAAATTATACCTGCGACCATAAAAAAGTGTTACTTTTTTATGGAGTGGTTGACGTCGATAGCTCAACGAAAACTGTCCACTTTTGAATTTATGCCATGGCCGATAACATTTCTATTAATGAAAATAATAATTAACAATGCGTTATCCATAATATATGAGTTATTGTCGCGACAAATATATCTTTACTTGCAGCATATTTTATAAAAATTTCGTCATCTACTCCATAAAAGTTTCCGTTGAAAGAAACGTGGCCCTAATAAAATTCATACGTTAACACTAAAATAACTAAAAAAGCCATACTCCATGAGATGCATGGAGGATTGGAACTATTCGGAGACTGAATACCTGATTATCTCATACCGTGGTCGACCGTTAATGGAAAGAGTAAACTCATTGCCGATTTATTACGCGGTCGTCAATTTTTTCACGAAACCGGCGCTAAAGGTCCCTCCCGTATTAGCTCTGTGTTCACAACGCTCATCATTCAGATTAAGAATGTCGGCGTGTCTGTGTTTTTTCTCTTTTTTTATGTTTAACCAAGAGCGGCTTGACGAGGTTGTGACGAGGCGCTAACTATTTCACAATCCAAATCGCATCATCGTTTTGCGCCAATCGATGTTATACGCGAGTCGACTAGACCAGAAGTCGGCGTCCTTTGATGTTAACGCTGTTTGGCGTTTTAATCAATCTCGGATGCGGTTTTTTAATTAGTAAGTAATTAAAAAAAACCGCTGAGTCAGTATATAGGTTAGGTGGTCTTGGATTGAGTTTTTAATGATTGATGTTTCTATTTAATTTGGAAAAAATTGCAAATTACCGCAGTTTATCGCCGGTTCTTTTCAGTAGCTTGGGGAGCGGAAAGTTATGGTTTTTATTTTGGCTTTAATGTGTATATGTGCAAATATCATAAAGAGGAAGAATTTTTTTTATTTTTAATTGTAAAATATTTTCTAATAATAAAATTTACCACATCCAAATGTTTAATTATTTTCAAAAATGAAATTAAGTTTTCAAATTGAATTACTTACAAATCTCAATGTTTGCATCTCAAGTATAACTTTTTTAACTTTAATAAGCTGGAAAATTACCTTTGTTACTCGTCGTTAGTAAAAAAAAAAAAACTTTTATTAAATTTAATTTTCATACACTTTGACAGAACCTCGGAAAATTTTAACTATTTCTATACCTATGCTGAAGCAGTGGCAACCGAGCTAGCTTAAAATATGATTATTATTTAGCAGTTCACATTGACTAATATAGTGCAGGGGTTAATTGACGTATCAGAAATAATTAGTAACTGGTGATTAAGATAGGGACAGGCAACCCTACCCCATCCCTAATCATTAGCGATTCTCGAAGCAGTTTCTGCTGTTGCAAAAATGGGCAGGCTCGTCCGGGGAAGTACCACGACCTCACAGAAGACCGGCGTGTTGTGTAGTGTTGCACTTTCGCTTTTGGTCGGTAATCGGTGGCCACATTTTAATGGTTGGCAACTCATTTCCAACCTATCATGCGCTGAAGATCTATGTTCGCTTGAAAACTTTTCATATATTAAACCGCGCCGTAATATAACTTATGTTGTGCGATTTCATGGGTGGCGGTTACCGCATTCGGCGAAGCCAATTACCAATTTACCTCGTCATCTTTTTTGCTGTCGGTCTGTTTGGGTGCTCTAACTTGCCGTCGCTACGTACCTGTGCGTTGGGCGTGAGCGCGGCTGAGATGGCGTTCTGCTGGGCCGCTGCGGCTGCGGCCGCCGCCATGCTCGCCCCCAGGGGGCCGTACGCCGCGCCGTAGTAGCCCCCCATCGCCTGGCCCATCCCGCCTCCAGCCATGCCTGGAACAACACCATGAGTAAAGCCCTGCAGTTAAGCAAGTGCCGCCAACTGGCTTATGCTTGAACTATAGTTGGCATTCTTTAAATCAAAATCAAAGCAATCAAAATCATTTATTCATCGAAACATACATTTCATCTATCGATAGTCATTTTTTTTAATCTACCACCGTTTGATAATGAGTAGATGATATAGTCTCGTTATGATGATATAAAGCTTTTGTGATGTATCATACTGATTCCCATTGTAAATCGGTTATTTCGAGCGTTTCCAGTGATTTACGCTAACTGCAATCAAATAGAAACATTGGTGTGGTTATTAATTTGAATTAAATGTTTAGGAAATGTTAGTTTAAAAAAAAAAAGTTTTTGATAGTAAGTGAGGCAGTTTCAAGTCAATGGCTGCGTGATTTTCCGATGTTTTCATTTAGTAGAGTTCAATTATTACTAAAGTCAATAAAACAAAAAGATTTGTTTCAAGTGAAATATGGTAAAATTCGATTTAGTTACCCAATCCTGCATAGGTTTCATAGTCATAAAGTAGTTATTTAATTAACGTAGATAAAAGGACGAAAACACTCCATTATCATATGCCATTTAAGAGCCAATGCCAATTAATACATAAGGAGTAAATTGTATCGAGTAATATACGGCGATTGTAGTGGAAATTCTGATTCACGCCATCGCTTGTAAGTGGACTGTGTAATGGACAGAGCTCTATTATACTACGATGGATGTAAGGTATATCATTTGTTGGGCGGCGCTGAGGCCCTGAATAAACGAAAAATTAGTGCGATGAAACTAAAACGTAAAAATACTAACGAAATACTAATTGTTCTTTTATTCTATGTTTTTTTTTAAACATTCCCTCAGTTTAGGATAACGTTATCCTGTGTTGTAAGGAGGTTTTACAAACATAAATTGCACGAGGACAAACATCCAGATGCGAAACAACTATCTGTGAGTCGCACAAATAGTTGTCCCGTGTGGGAATCGAACCCACGACCCCCGACGCCGAAGCCAATAACTTGGCAACCGCGCCACGGAGTCATCAAATGTTTACCCCATTAATACTAAAAAACGAAAAAATATTTGTTGCTTTACTCTTCTTTAAAACAGCAACTGAAAATAGACATGATTTCTTCTATGGAACCTTATATACCATATTAAGAAAGTGCTTTTTATTACGAAATGTCCCACTTTTGTGGGATAGACCCGAAGCATAGTTTGAGGGTAAAGTAACGAAGACGATTAGATAATAACGGGTCACGGCGATAGATAACCATTTATTTTTGTAATAAAAACCAAGCGATATTTGCCTAGCAGTCTTATTAGGCGGTAGCGATTTTATTCCCGGGCCCGCTCCGCTCGCCACCAAGGTCGCGGCGAAACATCGCCGGGAACTCCGTTTCGAGCACCAATTAATTATTTCATTGTGCCCGGAATAATCCGCTGACCCTCGAGCGGCGTTAACTGACCGACAGTTCCTTAGAGCTGTTTATTAAACACGCCTTAGTACGGCGCCGGTCGCCTCTCGCGAGATGAATGGACGGCAGCGGGGTGTGTGCGCTTTATTAATTAATCGTGACTTTTGTCGAGTTTCGAAGGCGTCTAATGGTGCTTAAGAAGCGTTTTCGTTTAGTTTTGACTGAGTAGTGGTTTTAGTTTGCGCCATAAATGTTAGTTCGACCGTTTATACTGGGTTGTACCCGCCCCTGCTTCGCACGGGTGCAATGTGGATATTGAATTTCACAACTTTTCCCTACTATAATATGCGTGTATATTTACATATAAATTACTCTGACTGTATTGCTGAAAACCGCATTAAAATCAGTTGCGTAGTTTAAAAGATCTACGTACAAACAAGCGGAGCTACTTTGTTTTATACTATAAAAAGAAGATGTGGGCGTTATGAGTAGCCATTATTCGAGACGTGGTTCTCTTTGAAGTGATATTATTAAAAACTATTGTATGCTTTGGTAATATTTATGCAAAACGGATTAAATGATGTTTTATGCATAATTTAAAAAAAAATTGCATTCTGCACTTCTTCTTTAAACTATAATGTGGGAAACATACTCCTCCATCCGAGCAATTTTCGTAAAAAGGAGTACAAAGTTTTTGCTTCACGTATATAGATACTGTTGTGCCGTTGAGGTGTAAAGAGAAAAACTAACTTTATACCAACATTCACATTTATATCATCACTGCGATGTGTAATTTAATATACGCTCCGAAATCACAAAGTAGCGCGAGCTCTGAATGTGTTTCTGAACGGTTTTACTGTTTAGTAAGTGGCTTTTTTGTATATTTGTTTATCAGTAAACGCGCTGTAAGATTAATACGTCTATTTTTCTCATAGTCAGCATATGATTAGGTTAGACCGCTGAGTTGGAACTTATAAGGAACAAGAAAAGTCCTCGACACTCAACTATGTCTGAGAAAAAAAATATACGTTCCTAATTCGCAGATTGTTGGGTCCTACCATAGTAAAAGGTTAATAAATGTCTATCATTACGTTTGAATGTTGTTAATTTTGACAGGGCTATTTTCTTCACTTAAGATGAAAATTAAAATCTTGCCAAAAATGGACGAAAAGTATCGCATTTAACTTGTTTTCTCCAGCGCCCGACGCTTTAGCCACTGAGCTAAACGGCTTATCTTCACACCGTGAATTTTCACGGTACGTTTGTATTAAATACATTTGTATTACCACTTTGTTTTATTGCATTTTAAGATATTTTAATTTATACCAGTTTACTTAACAATTATGAAAATTTGTTAAACTCCATATAGTTCAAACTATGGAAGTTGTAAAAAGGGTTCAATAGTTTAATTATTTGTGATGACCTTACTTGGCGTTCTAAGGGGGAGGCCTATGTTCAGCAGTTCAGTGGACGTCTTGCGGCTGATGATGATGATGATGATAATGACCTTACTTGAAACTTACATTCTAAATTATCTTACGGTGATAAAGAACTCTATTAGTCACATTGGAGAATATTACTGAATCTAAAAGGTACGTAATATTTAATGCCCAAATAAAAATAATTGCCACCATTATTATATAAATCCCCATTCGTAAGCACGTAAGTAATAAACCATTAATTTTGTCATACGTGTCGCGGCGATCTACGATTTGAATGCCCACGTCACTAATTGAACCCTCCGTCTTGTCGCAAGACTACAATTTGAATAAAAAAAAACACGAAAGAGCCCTCATTGTGGTGACGTCAATCGAATATACAATATATTGGGAGCCAGAACAACGGCCTCACCGCGCCCTTCGCAACACGCGAGAGCCGTATTTCGAGTACACATAAGGTCGAAAATCGCTTAGCAACGCCTCCGTTGCGCCATCTCCGAAAGGGACGCCCGGGAGAGATATTTTTTTTTTATTATATTCATAATTAAATTCGTTGTCATCTCTCGCGCACTCTGATGTCTCCGCCTGGTATTGGCGTGTAGAACGATGGGTTTTCTCCGGCGAGTTTTTTTTTTTTTTTTTTTTTGAGAGTTTAATAATTTAACGCCCGAACGTCGAGTATATTTTATTATTACGATTTTTCTCTCTCGATAATTTAGGTGACATAATGACAGGATGACGAGTAATTGGACGGTTCGGATTTTGCGGGTAGGGCGCGTTCAGATTATAATTTAATCGCGTTGTAGACTCCGGTGAATCGTGACGCGTGGACAAAGAAAGCCGGGGCGCTCTTCGTCGAGTAAGTAGTGACAGGTGACGATCTCGTAGCACTTGGGCCGGCGTGTTTGTTATGTTCCAAATATTGAACCCGCCACTGATGATCGACCTGGGAATTGTACTTTATACCTATTAACGTGTTGAGGTTACAATGCTATTATTTTTATTGTGTTAATCCAAGCATGGATGAAAAAATGTAGTGACTTTCGTTTACTACCGTTTCACAGGAGAGATGCTTGTGAAACAACGTGAATCATTTTGTAAATGGTTCTGTGTATATTTTTTTGACCAGCTTCCTGCTTGACGTCAACCCTCCTTGGGAAACAAGCACCCAGATTCGGCACAATTATCTGTGGGCCACAAAAATTCTTGTTCCGTGGTGGAATCGAACCCCACGACCCCCGAAGCGGAAGCCAATAGCTTAGCAACGGCGCCACTGAGTAATGCACGAGAGATGCTTATCGATTCTTGATTGCATTCTGATCATTCCGATCAATTCAGAGAGTTTAACCATGCTTTTGGCAACTTGAATAACATTGGAAAAGGCATTTGACAGCTGATTAGTTAACCTCTACGATGATCAGTGTTTCAGAAACTGGGCGTAAGTGTGCAAGGCGTGACGTAACCAATACATTATCATCTCAATTTGGCATGTTGAACGCGTACATTGCAACATTAGCTATTGCTGCATTTGTTTTGTTACATAAACATACATTTCACGCGGACAAATACCCAGATGCGAAACAACTATCTGTGGGCACACAAATAGTTGTCCCGTGTGGGAATCGAACCCACGACCCCCGACGCCGAAGCTGATACCTTGGCAACTGCACCACGGAGTCATCACGGAGCATTTAGGGTTGATACACGAGAGGCCTTCATACGACCCAAAATACGAACTGACCGATACAATGGGTTAAGACGGAACTTATTCATATTTCCCCGTCAAAGGGAATCCCCCGTCGATATCTCATCCCTCGGCGGGTGAAAGGCGAGGTATCGACGTCGGGATCGCCACAATGGGTCCATTTGTGGTGGCCACCATTGACGCCGGTAATGACCGGCTTCCGCGTCCGTCCGCCGCATTGTGCTCGCGGAATCGAACCCGGGAAAGGTTTCGATTCCGCCGTGGGCACGTGTTAAATTTCGCGGGCAAATGGATGCTTTTGTGCTGCGCTTCTGTGTGTGTGCGCGATCATGTCGAGATATGTGATGTGTATGAGTGGTGTGAAATGGGAAGGCGTGAAAACAATCGATGTAGTGTATGCAACACAAACTATGGACGTTTATTTATTAGC